TCAGCTTCCTCTTAAAAAAAAATATAAAAAACAGTTAAACACCAAATAAAAAATTAATGGTTTCTTGACAAATTAACTAAAACAACTCATTTATAACGATACCTTAATGGTTTTTTGTTCATTAATCACAAAAAGATTTGCCAGTGGATAAAGCCTTTTAAAAAATAAACAATTAATTTTATACCTACCTATAAAAATGAGCTGTATTCTCTTAATTAAGGAGTGTCGTTTAAATTGCGTGGATTAAGTGTACTTTAATTGCTATTATAATAGTCATGATTTCTTGAGAATAAATTTATTATATTAAAGATGGAAATTATGTACATGTTTCTTGCTGTAGTCACCAAGATTTTTTGGGAAACAATCAATGTGCAAATTCAAAAAGTGAACTTTTACACTCATGTTGCAAGTTAACATTTCTTGGACAATATTTTTATAATCAGGATCTTGTATGTTACATAAAAAATTCGAAACAACATTTTTAAAGCAAAGCCAGGCATTTTGTTCTAAATTTGTCGTGACTTTTTCAAAATCTGCATTCTTCATTAGTTTCCTAATGTCAGGTCTCGTAAATATGCCCTCCTTTATTTTTGCATCAGATAAATTAGGAAAACATGAACAGAGATATTTGACAGTATTTCCATCTATGGGTAATGCCTTTACGAAGTGTTTCATAAAACCAAGTTTTATGTGAATTTCGAAATTTGTATATCCTTGCTATTGACCCAGATTAACCATTTGTGTTGTGGTAAATTTTGTTTTCTCCACAACATGTTTTAAGTTTGGGTCATTTTTTTTAAGGTAAACACAATGAGCTACAAGTATTGATTGAAAATTCGCCATTCTTGTGCATTGTTTTCCATGTCAAATTTATGTATTAAACCGTCAATATCACAGCAAAACACTAAATTCTAAAGTTCTTTTTCTCTGCTTCGATACAAATAAAATGTCGCATGATCTAATAAATTATCTTCTTTTCTGTTTTAAAAGTTGAGGAGATCATTCATGGAGTTAAAAGTTTCACCACTGCTTGGAAGATAGCTTTTGTCTGAATTTTGTGAAATCAAAGCTTTCATCCTTAGTAGGAATAGGTAAGTAAGGGCAATCCGGGCCTATGTGGAACTGTTTTTTTATTGACAAAACATCGGAATATACAATTTTGGCACGCTTTTTAGAATTATATCCGGTCACAATACTTAAACAAAAGTAACAATCATCTTTTGTTTGCTCCCGCCACAACATAGGAATATCAAATAACAATTATTTTGATTTGCCATAAGTCCATTGTAACTGGAACTTAACCAGAGATTGATAAACTGGCCCTTAATACTTCAACACAAACCCAGCATACTTTATGTGGAACCGACTGTTTATCTTGTTTGCTCATACTTATTCCAAAATAAGCATAATAAGCATTTTTTATAAAGTCTGTTATATTTAGCCTTTGTTTAACTGTTGTATATTGTCCGCATATTAAACAAAATATATCCGGACTATTTTTGCAAGACCTAGAAGCCATTGTTAAAGTTAAAAAACACAGTCTTAATATCACTCGTAATGGCGTACTAGAAACACTAAGGTACCGACTCGTCCGACGTACTTGTATCCAAAGATACCTACTCCAACATTGTATTCGGAATTGTGCAATATATACACACATGTCCAAAAGTTTGGAATACTTACAAATAATATATCTACGCCTATGGTCGTTTAAAAAAACTGTTGATAATATTTACTCTATTTTCTCTGTCTTTGAGGTTTATTTATTATTGGTCGGAGTCGTTATAAAATGGTATTTACCTATATAAAAAAAATATATATAAATATCAATAAAAAAAGAAATATTGCAATATTCCAAACTTTTGGACATATGTGTAGGTTGGAATATATAGGTTAAAATTTATACGTCATATATGAAAGTATTATAAAAACTTTTTCATCGCAGACCTGTGTTATTATTAGAGATTTTTTACTTTTTAATTTTTTATATAAGCTTTAATTATTTTGTGCAACATAGTATTCCTTTTGCAATTTAGTAAAGTAATGTAAAATTGACTATGCCTTAAATATAATACGTTATTTTTGATGGACAAAATATCATTTGTCATCAAAAAAGTTTTAATTAGACAAACCAATTAGCCTATCGACAAAATCATACCCGAAAACAATGCCGACCCATAATATTTCAGAAGCTCACAACAGTAACCGTTATTAGACGATAAAAAAATCGATTCCATCAATCACATAAATGATTTGGCGATGGGCGTGTCGGTGCATGCGGAACCGTGCGCGACCACCCATCGCGACCGCCAACAACCCCGTTGAAACAACCCCATCCCCATCGACGATGGAATTTTATCAGAGCCTCCGCCGAGCTCGTTTGCATTCGTGATGAGCTGGGCCATAAGGTCCGCTTTTAATTGACCATTATAATATTTTTCTTCGTGTTTGACTGGCCGATTATGACGTTTATGCACCCGCAAATCAAAAACCGAGGTGATTAATGGAAATTGGCTTCATTATTTCTAACAAGTTTATTTCGTGATGAGGTCTATTGTTTGTAGGCTTACAATAATAATGTTAGGAATATTTTTAGCAGTCAGAAAATTGTATGCTGCATATGAGAATATAAAATTTCAGTATTCTTTACACTCTAAAAATTAATTAGTCAAAAATGACTAATTTAATAGTTATTAGTGGCTGCTTTTTCGCTTATACCATGGTTAACCATGGAATACCATGGTATCCCAATTCTTATGTAAAATTGTCCCCTGAATCCGAAAATGTCAAATGTTTAAAAAGTAGAACAGTTTTTGAGATATAGTCAATTTTCCATTTAATTTGGAATTGACTATATCTGAAAAACTGCTCCACTTTCATGTTAAATTTTGGGATACCATGGTATTCCATGGTTAACCATTAGTTATTTTTGACTAATGCATTCATAGAGAGTATATAATAATGTAATAATGTAGGGATATTATAATAATTCTAGAACTAAATTGGAATTATAAGAATAGTTTGATTCTAAAAACATATTATAAATATTATTGTTTTTGAATTTGTATGCTACCGGGGGTTTAAAGGCTTTCAAATTGATAAAAGAAATTGCCTGAAAATTTTAGCTAGTCAGCTTTTTGATCGAAGTTTCTATGAAAATAACATAAAAAATTGTTTTCAGCTTTAAAAATGTATAAGTCCTTTACGAATATATTGGCAATAATGAAAAATACATATCCACCATAGTAGAGAGAATTAAACGCTCTACAAAAAACTTTGATGCAAACAATTTGCAAATGAAAGCGTTCGTTTATGTTAATTAACGTTCAAAGTTGGATAACATCATTTTGTTAAGAAATTTTAAAAATTGTAACATCTGTCGACGATCAAAGTTTTAGTCCGCCTGTTAAAATCATCGACAGCAGTACCGATAAGAACCAAAAATTATTATTGCATAACTACCCTTAACCTAAAAATAAACAATTTGAACTTTCTGATGGTTGTTAAAATAAAGTAATTTGGTTATTTCAACAACCATAAAAAAATTCATGTGTTTATAAATTGTTTATTTTTAAGTTCTGAATAGCAAAACCGACAATCTCCACTTTTGGTCAAAAATTAGATTTTTGGCGGAGACTGTACTTCAACTAATTATCTATAAGATGATAAAGTTTATGTGCTGCAAAAGGAGCTAAATCCTGCCTAAAATCCCATTTTAAAAATGACATTTAGTGCAAAGTCGACAATCTCCACTGATAGATTTGCAGCAAAGTATACAATCTCCAATTCCACCATTAGAAATTAGTAATTTGTGTCACCTGATATCCTAACATTTGATGTTATAACGTATTTTAGAGATTTAATTTTGTGTTTTTTACTGGTACATACTGTTAAGTTCTATTGCAGTAAATTCCACTTAAAAATATATTTAAAATAGGTATATATACGTTTTATTGTTTTAAGAAATTTAAAAAAGTTATCTTGTTTATTTTGTGCTATTATACCATAATAAGACGTAAAGGTAAAGCAAGAAAAGGCTGATAATGTGAAAACATTGCAAGTAAAACATTAAGGGGCAAAGTGGGAAGAAGATGATGGGTTATTGTACTATAAAAACCTTTTTTGCACGAGGCAACCTGGTCCCAGATTTAGAATAAACTCCAGATTTATGTGGTCCAGTTCAGAATTTTCCCACATTGATTGTATAGTTAAATTTTATAACCATTAAAGGAAAAAAATTCAATTATTTTTCTAAATCTCCTTAAAGGTTTACAACAAAATGATCAATCTCCAGCAATTCATATCAAAGTCAGCAATCTCCAATTTATAATTATAGATTTGCTTGTAGTTTGCTACTAGACTAACAACAACAATATTTCAATATAATATATAAAAAAAATTACAAATCTAGAATTTAATTTACCAAAATCTCAATTTACTCAGTTTTAGTCTGACGGGAGATTGTTGACTTTGCTCTGACAGGCCTCAATTATGGAATGTTTTAAATTAAATTGTATAAAGATACAGGGTGTGCCATTCATTTATTTTGTGTATATTTCGTAAACCCGACGTTTAATTGTTTTTCTGTTGTCACCATTTTAATAATCAATTGAAAAAATGACAATTAATTTAACCAACTTTGTAGTTCCAATAATAACGGAGTTAAAATGGTATAATTTTAATATTTTACCTAAAAACTACAAATTACTTGGTAATTGATAATTGTATACAGTTGTAACTAGAGCATGAAAGTTACTTGTTAACTTATTTGTTGTAAAATTGCTTTCTATAAAACAGATCTAGGATCAGGTGTAAAATGCGTAGAATATTGAAAGGTCATATTTATATTCTGATTTATTTTATAGTAGAACGTAGTAGAACGAATGTTACTCATAAAATCTACATTATGTCTAAACTTATTAAGGCTAAGTTAATTCAATAATAAACAAGTTAATTAATTCAATTATTTTATTATCATAAAAACAATCATATAACAAGACAGGTTAACAAAAATGCTCTCAGTGGTAACCATAATGAGTGACTCCGACCCAGCTGGTGCCGCCAACTCCTCCATGACCATGATGACCGTGACCATGACCATGACCATAATGAGCCGGGTGCTGGGCATGGCCGATTCTCTTGACAACCGCTTGGAAACCGTTGTGGTGATCTCCAATGTATTCTACAATACGAGTGGTACCATCGGCTTCCTTAAGGGTGTAGCCTCCCTTCACGTTGTGACCGTCTCTGTGCTCGTGTTGGGACTTGATGTCGTGGGTATGAGGATCATGGACACCATATTCAAATTTATAATGAGCGGGAGCCTAAAAATTTTATTTGATTTTACACAATTTGGTCAACCAAAAATAAGATCGATCATACCAAATCCCCCAATTTTTTGGTTTAAATTTATTTAAACATAATTTTGATATAATAGGCTGCTATTGATGTTTGATAAGGCAAATTTGAAAGAAGGTAAAAATTATTCAATTATTCAATTTGTAAAATAAATCATTAGGTTTTTTATATAAGTTTATAAGTTATATAACTTAAACACCAAAGTGTTAGGTAAATGTATAGAAAATTCGTGTTGAAAATTATTATTAATTAAAAAAAGCACTAGACATTTTTTAAACCTTAATACCATCCAAAATTGAGATAATTATGACATATTGTTTAGAAAGAAAACTAAAACTGCATAAATAAAATGAACACTGAGAGAACAGTTTATTAACAATTAACTAGATTTATCAATAACTAATAAATGCTTTATTCGATTATGGCGGAATAAACATTTATTTAGGACAAGCAACGCATTGATTAAAATTGTTTAAATAAATCTTTTTATTAAAAAATAAAGAAAAATTTATAATAAATATGTTTTTTTGTTAATAAATAAATGCTTGTTTATAATAAATAAAGATTAATTTATAATAAATGTGTTTTATTTGTGATAAATAAATGCTTGTTTATAATAAATACTAAAATATTTAGAAGACATAAAACTTCATTTGTAAACCCTATACTTTAATTCACTATAAATGTATCCAGCAAGTCGTTGAATCCATTGCTTCCTAAAAATTTGCATAGCTCGTCCATGGTTTGCAGATCTTCCATGCATGTTTGGATTTTTTAATAATCGCAGAGATACACTAGCCGGCACACAGGAAAGAGCCGGTATTTTACACTGGCACTATAGGTAAAATTTAAAAAAAGATTGCAAACGAAACACTAATGCATAGATAAATAAGAGTGCCAAGAACAGAATCACTAAACTTAACAGTACACAGAACAGAATCAGTAGACTTGGCAAGGCAAGTGGTACACCATACGCACCGTAACGCACGCGGTACACCATGCACTCACTATTCGAGAAACGTCTATGCTGTTTTGGTGCGTTTTGACAGAAGTTTGAGTACAGTAAACAAGAAATAAATATTTATTCATTGTTAATATTGATTCTTACTTAAAAATAAATTCAAAATTTATAATAAATAACTTTTAAAGATCGCCTAAGCAAATAGGTATTTATTATTCCCAAATTTGCATTATTAATAATAAACATATGGGCAACAAACAAAGTATTTGTTTCTGCTAAATAAAATATATTACGCAGATTATTAATAGTTAAAAAGGTTGATTAACAATAAATGAACTTTATTTATTGTAAATAAATGCTATCCAAATAAAGATTTGTTAACTATAAACTACACTTTTTCTCTCAGTGAATTAAGATAATTTCGCGCATGGGCGACAACAGTGTCATAAGTTAACAAAATTGATTTTAGGGATTTTTAGTGCAATTAATGTAAAATTTCTCATAGTTTATGCTGCAACAGTGGCTTAATAGGATATTAAAGAACTAATGTCATAAGAAGTCATTTTGTCGCACGCGGACAATTTGTAAAACAAGCGACGAAGGAGCGAGTTTTATAATGGACGAGTGCGACAAAATGTCTTATGACATGAGTTATTTATGCTATTTTACTATTCTATAAAAAAAAATAATTTTATACCTTAAATCACAATCCACACAACAAGGTCTGTTCGATCTCGTACTAAAAATACTAAAAATCACTGCAACACTGCACATCATTTAATGGCGGCCATTTTTGTTGTTTACAATTCTTGTGATTTGGGTTTGTACAGATTAAAAATCGTTTTAAACGTTGTGTTCCTAATAGAGGCACTTGTAAGCCTCAAATGAGGCCTTAAAGTGGTAAAAACATTTTACTCCTATTTGTAAAAAATAAACCTTATTCTATCAAGGCTGTCATCAAACTGTCAAATGTTAATTTTAAGGTTATTTTATAACCCACAAATTAACCTTCAAATTGACATTTGACAGCCCTGATAGAATAAGGTTTATTTTTTATAAAAGAGGAGTAAAATGATTGTTCTTACCACTTTGAGGTCTCTTTAAAGGCTTGCAAGTCTCTATGTAAGAAACACAACGTTTAAAACGATTATTAATCGGTACAAACCCAAAGCACAAGAATTGTAAACAACAAAAATGGCCGCCATTAAATGATGTGCAGTGTTGCAGTGATTTTTAGTATTTTTAGTACGAGATTGAACAGACCTTGTTATGTGGATTGTGACTTAAATTTAATTTGGTCGAATTTTACTTTAAATAGTTGACAGTTAATGTCAAAATCGATTCGCCATGGAGTCCCTAATTTACTTATTTACAATAAGCGGCTGTTAATGTTAAAGAAGAAAAAAAGAATTTTTTTGGTGTTTATTGCAAGAAAAGTCTCGTAAGTACTAGAAAAATCATAAAAATATTATAACCAATATTCAAAATATTATGCTGTTTAAAGTATAGCCAACCTATAAAATCAAAATTTTGGGTGGGATAAAGTATCTCATTAAAGCACCGAAAGCGGTGTTATAATGAAGTCATTATGAACGCAAAATAGATAAAGATAGTTTTAAATTAATCCCTAGATGGAGACTTGTGCCTGTCTGCAATTTGTATAATCCCTATCATAATTTTCATCAACAGTATCATAAGTAAGTTGTGACATTAATTTTGTTAACGTAGGTTGGTAAAATTAAAGTCATTAGCAATAAAATAATGAATAATTAAAAAATTTATCAACACATTTTTAGCCATAGACATATCTGCAAAATTCATGCACATATTTTCAGCAAAACAGACATATCTCCAGAATTAATACACACCTTCTTCAGCAACACAGTCATATCTACAAATATCTATAATCCAAAAAAAATATTTTTTAATCTCTAATTTTTAACTGGCTCAAAATACTGTAGGTTTATATAATTTTACAAGTATGTGAGAATTTCATTATCAAAAAATCTTTGGTCGTTATCTCGCAATTAGGGTTTTACTTATGACACTGTTGTCGTCTATGTGCGATTTGTGTCAAGAGCCAAATTTTTACCTCAAGCTCACATTTCAGACCTAAAGCATTTCATGAGAATCATTGACACAATATTAAAATTGGTAATTAAATTAGAGTATTAGTGCAACATTTTTGCGTTATTTGTATTAATTATCTTGATCTTGACCTTAGTGACCGCACTTTTACTTACGTGGTGTTCTTGGTGGTGTGCTAATGCCGCACCCATTATGACTAATACCATAGAAGCCTGAAAAATAATAAGATTAGTTTTTATGCTAATAGAAAACATATTTTCCGTAATTTTATGAAATAATAACAATAATTTCCTGGAATCAAAAATAGGTGTGCTTTTAATGTATCAACATCAATTATATGCATAATAGATGTAAATATTAACTTTATTGGATTACATGAATAATTAAAAAATTATAATAACTTATTTTTCAAAATAATACTGAAAAATCAAGGAAAATCTTACTTGGAAGAAATGCATGTTAAATGCTTGTAAGTTTCTTATTAAAAATCACCAAACAACTGATATTGATCATAAATCGATTATTACTTTTATACAAGTACCAACAATTAACAAAAAACACAATAAATTGTATTGGCGACTATACTAAAATTACCAAACATTTCTTTAACATTTTTGTGGTTACGATATAGACAAATGTTGCTAAACAAACACATAATAATACTCTTGTTAACGTAAACAGATCAATAACGAAATTTGTCGAAATAATTAGCGTGTGGGCAAGAATTATCAGACTGTCACATAATTGCAATGTATAAGAAATTTTAATTGAAACAAGTTTTTATTGTTTGTTACAACAAATAAAGGCCTATTATAAAATTATTTTATGTTTGTTGTTGTTAAATTTTATGTGACAATAGGTAATGTATCCCAACATTTGTTGCATTTGAACAAAAAAAAATACCTCAAATTAAAGTAAATAGCCTTTTATTCTTTAACACTATTAACAATTTCAACTAAAAAAATAGTGATCCACCTAAATTACCCTTCTTCTTAAGTTTTTGTAAATTCTCTGAATTCGTCAGTAGTTTTTTTTTAATATTTCCAAATCATTAGTCTTTATAAAATTGTTGTTTTAGATTGTCCTAAAAGTAAAAATCGATAATTCTTAAATCCGGACTTCTACCAATGTATTTTTTTCCAAATGTATCTATTGTTCAAATTTCTTATCAAAAGAGTTGAGGGTGGGCTTCAACCGTTTTGCTGATAATAAATGTTTTGTCTCCAAATTTATTTGATAAAGGTAAATTTGTGTAAATAATTTTTCAATATATTTAAATATACATATTAATTTAAATTTCCACCAAAAAAAATAAATTCAAATTATCCCATCGTTTGAAACGGCACACCAAACTTTAACTTTTTTTAATACTGGCTTATAGTTTATTCTCAAAAAAAATTTCGCAATACTATTAAAACTCCTGGAAACTTTAGTTCTAAGCGCCCGTTTGTAGCTAATTTGTCCTAACCCATGAACCTAATTCATATCCTCTGTACGCTGGCCAAGCTTTTCGAGAAAATTCTGTCGGTTCAAATTAAAACTTATTTATCAGAAAGACAAATTTTGTTAACTGTCCAGTCAGGTTTTCTTTGTAACACAGTAGATACTTTTGTCTTTTCTTGTATTACTGGATCAAAGCATAGCCTTCGACGTGGTAAACTTAAAAGTACTGTTAGCATTGCTAACTAACTTAGCAAAAATATCCGCCTTGGGGTTTTCCATCACGGCAACCAAACTTTTTAAATGTTATTTGTGCAATCGCAAGCAACTGGTCAAATGCAATAATGTCCTTTCTGACGAATTGGTTTTTAGTCGCAGAGTGCCCCAATAAAGTGTTCTAGGTCCTCTGCTATTCTCTATATTTATATTCGAAATATTTAGCTACATAACACATTGAACAGCAAAAGCGGATGAGATTCAACTAGATCTAAGTTTTAATGAACACGAATACTCACAAGTTTGCAACTAGTAAACGATGAGTTACAACGCGTATCAGATTATTGTACGAGCAATGGACTGATGCTTAACCAAAGATTAAATATACTTTTCTTCCAAGTATAATATATATATTTAATCTTTGGCTTAACCCAAAAAAGAGTGTAGCATTACTAATCGGAAGCAAACATTTAAAACCTTCTCTCTTAAAATGAATTAGTCAAAAATGCCTAGTTGTCATATTGAAAAAGCTACTTTGCCGTACTTTGGCAAAACCTAGTAACTATGATTTTGTAACTTTTCAGGACAGCGTATTTTCTTAAATTGCATAGCCTTTCTTTGCAACAAAATATTTAAAATACCTAATCCTACATAATTTTTAATGAGGAATATGAAAAAATTAAAAAATTATCAAAAAAATAAGTAATTTGTTTACAAATATGAGTTACTACATATATTTTGTTAATTTATTTATAGAAGTAATTATGCGAAAGCTGCAGCTTGACCATGGTCAATTGCTAGTTTTATTTTTATGTATTTTTTAATTGTTTTTAATATGATTGGGTAAAATAAAATTTAAAATAAATAATTATTTAGGTTTTTTAACATTTTATTTAGTGAAAATACAATTAAAAAAATCCATATTATATTAAGTAAAATTGAACATTTAGATATTATGGTAAGTAAATCCAGAACAATTTTTTTCTTTAATCTCTAAATAAGTGACAGAGAGTCTAACATTGTTCCTTTCTTTTTAGTTTTTAACCCCAATGGTTCCAAATACGGTGCCACTGGTAGCTTAACTTCAAATTTGTTCTTCTGGACATATTTTGAACTTAATAATAAAACACAGTTATTACAAGGTACACACACTATTCCAAACGTAAAACTAGTCTGGTAAAGTCCGATTTATTAAAAACAGATTTTTATTTATTTATTCGGAAGTATGGAAATTACGTAAATCATAATTCAGCAAATAGTAGTATAAAAAGTTCTATGTTGATTAAAATATGCACAAATTAACTTATTAAAACATCAACATTCAAGTTGCCAGATTTTAATCAATGCTGAAATATATACATAAAGATAATATTTGAACGAACACGTTCAATTCGGCGTTATTTTTACCTTTACTTATTTTTATTATATAATGATACGTTTTTATTTTCATGTGTAGTGCAATAAAACACTGTCAATTTAATGTGTTTTATAAAACAATATTTACAATATTTAGATACTATAAACAAAATGTTACCAAGAGGAAATGCGACGTATACAAGTTTCTTGGTGCTTTCAAAGACCACACAAGAAACGGAGAACTGCGTCATATTTTTTCTTATATTTAAAAAGGGCTGACTACTCAGTTTTCTCTGTAAGAGTGGCAGTCTGCTCTTGTTATTTTCAATCAGTTATTCATTAGCATTTAACCGAGTATCATCTCTGTATTAAAATAAATACATCTAATTTTATTAAGTTGTGTTTATTGAACAACGTTCCTGTTGCACCAAAATTCAGTCAACAAAATTCGCATACGGAAAATGTTTTCATGGATTAGTTTTCAAGGAAACGTACTTAAGCTCAGTACATAAAAATTGGTCCTTCGAACCGGATATAAACCAGTGACCTGTGAACTACGCAACAACATTTTAGTTCCACAAAATTAGTGTAACCGCACTAATTATCAACAAAACGAGACGTCTCGATTCCTTGCTGTCAAGGGCAATACGGTAGCCAGATACACCAGATGACACATCAACAACACATCTTATCTTCAAACTGGAAGTGCAACATAGTTAAGTGTAAAGTGTGTGTTGATGTATGCGTGAAGTGCAGTGATCGGTTTTACGAAAAACCGGCTACTTCGTCAATGCGTTTTTATAGGTGCTGATTAGCAATATTTATAATAATATCAGTCACGCATTAAATTAACGATACGAAATTCTTATATTGCAATCAAAAGCAAACCTATACACGTGTACACGAAACAAATTATACAATATACAAAAAGTGGTACCACTAAAAAGCTACGTGACTGCAGTCATGCATCTGATACGTATAATATAATATCAATCTAATATATTATATACGTTTAATATAATATCAATCTAATATATTATATTACTTGTGCACAAGAACGATTTACGATACGATATTCGATTATTTACGATGCGATATTCGATTAATTTCGATACGATATTCGATTCAATATTCGATTATATACGATGCGATATTCGATTAATTACGATTCGATATTCGATTCGATATTCGATAATTAAACGAAATACATGCGAATACAAGCTAGCTTGATACGACAAATACGATTTTAATAATGCGAAAACTGTAATTAACACAATAATTACTACAAAAAGGCTTCTTTCTTAATTTTATTTATAATTAAGAAAGAGCTTGTCTACCAAGGCACTTATTCGTTTTTAACAGCTCACAAACCAGCTGATCCAAGAAGCAGCGTCTGCAACACAATTTGAAGACTACAATCATCAATCGGTAAGTGCTTTTTTAATTGAGTCACCAAAAACACATTTACATTTACATATCTGTATACACTTCTATTGTAATCTTAAAATTAATCTTTTAATTCAAAATGACCGAAATCGAACAAAGACTAAGATTACTCAAAATAAAACGTAATTCAATTAAAGATGAAATAAATCATTTACACTATTATCTAGAAAATTATAATAAAGACACACAATTCGTTGAGTTGCAAATACGCCAAAAAAGACTTGTTACTAACTTCGGAAATTTTGATCAAATTTTTGACGAAATTACTTTAATAGAAGATAACGCAGATAATTCAACCGAGAAAAATGAAATTTTGAACGATTATTTCGCTATATTGAGTAAAATTCAAGAGCTTATTTCCGGACCCTTAATGCAAAATAATTCAGACTTGATTAGCGTTCACTCGGTAAACGGATCGAGTAACTCTTTAAATTCACGTAAACGCAAACTCAAGCTACCACATGCAAAAATTCCAAACTTTTCGGGTGATCGTAGCAAATGGCTTTATTTTAAAAATACTTTTATTTCGCTAATTCACGATGACGAAGAATTATCCGACAAGGATAAATTCGCGTTACTGCAAACCGCGTGCTCGGGCGATGCTGAAAAAAAAGATAATAGGTTTTCTAAATGCGGAAACCGATTATAATGATGCGTGGAAGACACTAGTTAAGGCCTATGAAAGTAAACGCTCGTTGATCGCGGATCATTTATCAAAAATACTTAATATGCC